TACAGGCCTCTCTCACCTTTTTAAGTGGGAGAACCTGCACAATTGGTGGCTGACTAAATACTTTTTTGCCCCACTGTATTTAGTCTTGCCTTCCATCATATTCTTAGAAGCAGTAAATTTTCAGGCTGGCACCATTAACATAAGCTTGACAAACATTTGCTCATTGCAATATGGAGGGACCTCAACATTCCCCAGTCCTGCAGAATGTAAATATAAGGTTAGTGGGCCCGGTCATCCTTGAATCTGTACTCTGAGTGCTGAGAGATTCCATGCAAGAGATGAGGAGCCAGTCTTGCTTGTGAGGACAGGCGACTTGTTCCAGAGGAGAGAAGCTGTCACCCAGAATATCTACCTCCATGCCCCCTCCCACGGCACTTCTTTCTAGGAGGGGTCCTTCAGCAGGCACTTTCTATTTGTCTGATTTGGATGGGCAGAATTTGTTTGGGATGCGAGGTCTTGGAGATATGCAGGCCTTGAGCCGGATAGGGCTTTATTGATAATAGCTAGCACCTTGAGTTGCATTTAGAAACAAAACAGCAGCCAATGAAGAATCTCTATGTTGACTGGACAAGCATAAAAGAAGTGTAGCTTTTCATTTGCACAGGAAAAAAACTGGTTAACGTTGATCCCGACCTATAGTAAAGAACATGAGAACAAAGAAGGTGATAACCTCTTTGCAAATGATAACCTCATTTGCAGCCTTATTTAAGAATACACATTTTAAAGACCCTGAAAGAAACATTCAGCAATTGGAGATAGCCTGTTTTTTCACAACCCTAACCTCTTTTGTTAGGCTAGTATGCCTGCCCACTGAGTTCTTGTGATTTGAAATTTAATTCTGCCTTAGGCCAATCTTGGATAGGCACCTTGAGATCAGTGGTTTATATAGGCAGGCAGGCAACTATCTCTGCATGTCTCCTTGGAAAGGATCAAACACCCAAGATTTTAAATATAACCACTAACTTTCTTAGCTGTAATGCTGTGTGCCTTCTTTAAGCCTTCCAATCCCCTTATGGGAAAGGCCCCAAAGGGCTACAAGTCTCAGTATAATGTAAATTATATCTGTCTCAAGCAAAGCAAAGAAAAGGCTAATAACCAAGTCCATTATTCCCCAAAAGAATAAATCTGGATTTGGGGTCCTGACCTAATGTTAGCTACCGCTTCCTAGTTGTAAGAATAAAACCAGTTACTGAGGCCTGGTTTCATATTATGCATGAATTCTTATTCTTAGAAGCAGCAAAACAAACTTGTGGGGGCTGGTGACAATTAGACATGGTCCCCTATTTTTAGAAAAAGTAAACCTTCATGTTAGCCATGCCGCCTCTTTCTTTGAAAAAGTATAAAGCACACTTTAGGTTTTTTTTGAAATGGCTTCCCATTTCAAAAAGCTTTTGCCTTTTTAAAAGGAACACATGTAAGAGAAGACCCTACCCTAATTTTAGTAGATTTAGAGAGATAGGGGTCATTGCCCTGTCCCTACTTAAAAGAAAGCAAGCTATTATTATTCAAAGGGCCACTCATTGTTCCCCTACTTCTCACCCTCTTTAACAGCAACAATGAACATTCAGGACCAATCCAGGGATTTGTGTTGACAATTTTATACCTGTCTCAGGCAAACCAAGACTTTCTTTTTTATTTCTTTGACTTTTAAAGAATAATAATTTATTTTTTGCACTCTGTATCAGAGGAGGTAAATTGGACAAGTCCTGAAGTAGTTTTCTCACCTGCCCGGTTCTCAGAAGGAGTGAACTTTGGGGGCATCCTTTTCCCAAATTATTCACTTGAGTTGGGAGATTGTTTGATGAAGCCCAGCGTTAAGAATAGTGAAAGTATGATCTCTGCTCCAAACTGTACAACTTGCATTATAGGAATTGGGAAATTTATATGAATGGGTGCAAATTAATTAGCACCAGCATGTAACAAAATGATGGTAGGACCTCTGTCTAGAGATAAGAGAACACCAGCTCTTCCACTAACTCAAGTTCCATTGAGATGCAGTGGGATGTCACATGACTGCCTGCTCTTCTGAACTCCTGGAACACTGGTGGGCAGGACAACCATAGCCAAATCCCACCACATCTGGCTGCAGGCTGCCCAGTAAATGCATCATGGATCACTAGAAAGCTCCTCTTCTTTAAATAAGTAGGCAGCAAGGATGCCATCCTTCTGTCCACACTGAAGATTCTGAGGGAGGAGTTTGTGGGCTTGGCTTCTGCTACTGCTAGGAGATCTGGCTGGGAATCTGATGAAGTGTCTGATGAAGTAGAGTGTGCCTTTGCTCTTTCCCAGCCACTGATTCAGTGCCTCCTGGATTACTAGCTCACACTCCTTACTAGCTCACACTCCCACTGCTACAAAGAGATGTTCCCACTTATGCTCCTCTTGAAGCAAGGGTCATATTTTCCTGCCAGCACATTTGACTTCTTCTTGAATAGTGGCTGCAACCACCTCCTAATCCCTTCTCCCCCCTCCCCCCTCCACAATCTTCAGTGGCCTTCCCACCCCTGGAATGCTGGGCATTAGGAAGTCCTCCAGCCACCACTAGAGAGATTTCACACAGAAATCACTTGAAGACCAATACAACCTATGCCAGTAAACCACTGATAAAGTTGAGAGAAGGTATTTTCAGACGTTGGCAGCAGCAGCAGCAGGCAGCAATTTTTATTTTATGTTTCAGGATAATTTGAGGGGGGAGGGTTACTAGAAAATAGAGGTTACTAAATAAGTGGCTGTGGAGCTGTCAGTCAACAAGCAGCGGGCAGGTCCCCTTAGATCACTGACTGACAGCTGCTGCTCATTTGTAACTTGTAGGGGCTGCAGGTATCACCAGTGTTTGACTTTTTTCTTTGTAAAAGACCTATATGTTGAAAGCAAGAAAGCCCTGCAAAGCAAGGATTTTATTTTCTTTCCTTCTTCACTCTCTTTTCTTGCTTTGCTCTCCCTCCCATCCTTGTTTTGCAATTTTGTTCACACAAAATCAGTAAGATAACATGGATGGGGAATTTACACACAGTATGGGGAGGCATTCAAATAAACAAAAACAAGGTTTTTTTTGTTTGTTGGTTGGTTTTTGGCAAAGGTCAAGGGAAACTATTTTTTTTCATGCAGTTCTCAAAGTTATAAGTTTTATTTATTGTTGAATTCTGCTTGTTATTTTCCTAATACCTGGCACCTTGGACATTAATCAGCAATTTGTTGAATTATATGACTGACCTTGTGTTTAACATTCCATCCCACCTCTTGCCCCATTACTTGTGAGATTCCTGAATGTTTTCCCTGCATGCTCATCACCCCCCCTCAAGTATTTCTTAAACATTTGCTAAGAGATCAAGAGCCGAGAAGAAATGGGGGGCTACCTAGATGGAGACACAGCGAGAGAATACGGACCTTCCCATGTTCCTTTCTTCTGGAGGCACCTGGGCACCCCACCCTGGGCCTATCAGTCTGGCTGCCATTCAGTCACTCTGGCCCTACAGCTTAAAAGGCTCTGACGGCCTTGCAGTTACAGCTGGTGTGATCACCGTTAGTTACTTTGTGGTTCGGTGCATGTGCACAAAGGAAAGGACACAATGAACCCCGTCGTCCAACTTCTTCTTGCTCTTTCTCCCTCCCTGCCCCTCCAGTGGACCTTGGGGAAGCTTCTATTTACTGGCAGGCAGAGAGCAGGACGACAAAGACGTATCCACCTCCTCCCCGAGGTCCACACGCAACGCACGGCCCCAAACACTAATCTGCAACAGGCCCTGCTCGGAGTCAGTCCCCCAGGCTCAGAAGCAGGAAATCAAGACGCCGGCGTCTCGCGCAGGACAAGCAGCAGCAGCAACAGTATGCCGGGAGCGATGCTGCTGCAGTTATTGGCCAGGACTCTGCGCGCCGCTGTTGACCCAACGATGTTCGACGGGAATACTGAGAGAGCTGGGACGTCGCCTGAGTTTGAGAGAGAGCGGCAGACGGAGTGGAGAAGAATCCCACTGTTGTGTACCAGGAAAACAATGCCCGACTTTAAAACTCCCCAGAACCTATGCCCGGAACATGCAGAGTTGCAGCAACATGAAACTGCCGGCTGAAAACTTTTAGAGGAAAACTCAAAGAAACTTTACAAAGCAACGAGCTGTCCTCCCGCGTGAGATGAACGGCGCTGCTGGAAAGAACGGATGGGTAACACAATGGCTGCAGTTACTCGGGCTTTGGCTGGGTGTCTCGGATTGGGCTTTTGCATTCATTCGCTATACGATTCCTGAAGAAATGCCGAAGAGCTCTTTGGTAGGAAACGTAGTGGTTGACCTGGGCTTAGATCTCCAGCAGCTACAAGCTCGAAATCTCCGGGTTGTGTCGGGAGGCAGCAGAAAATACTTCGAAGCAGATCTCAGCACTGGAAAGTTGCTAGTAAATGAGAGAATCGACAGGGAGGAACTTTGCGCGACTCTCTCCCCTTGTGTCCTGAGCCTGCAGATCATAGCGGAGAACCCCCTGGAGCTCTACGGCGTGGCGGTGGAAATCCAAGACATCAACGACAATGACCCGGTTTTCCTGAGCAAACAAATGAGACTGGAAATCAGCGAGTCGGTGTCACCTGGGGCACGTTTTCCTTTGGAGAGCGCGCAAGACCCCGATGTGGGAATTAACTCTTTACAGACCTACCAGCTCAGCTCCAATCAGCATTACGTGTTAAACGTACAGACTGGAGGGGATAATACAAAATATGCAGAGTTGGTGCTGGAGAAGGCACTGGATAGGGAGCAGCAAAAAGAAATCCTGCTGGTTCTCACGGCACTGGATGGAGGAAATCCACCTAGATCTGCCACCTTGCAAGTACTCATTGATGTCCTAGATGCAAATGACAACTTCCCTGTCTTCAACGAGTCTATTTACAGAGCCAGCCTGAAAGAGGACACACCCTTAAACGCTTTGGTCGCCAGAACGAGAGCTTTTGATCTCGATGAGGGCCCTAATGGAGAAATAATTTACTCCTTCAGCAGTCACACCCCTGCTAGAGTTCGGCAGCTCTTTGTTTTAGATTCTGTTACTGGAGAGCTGAGGCTCAATGGATTGCTGGATTTTGAAGAAACCAAATTTTATGAGATTTATGTCCAGGCAAAAGATAAAGGTACCAACCCTGCAGAGGCTCATTGTAAAGTGTTGGTAGAAATTATTGATGTCAATGACAACATCCCAGAGATCACAGTGACCTCAGTGTACAGCCCAGTACCAGAAGATGCAGCTCCAGGAACAGTAATTGCTTTGCTAAGTGTCACAGATCAGGACTCTGGTGGCAATGGCCTTGTAAATTGCTTTATACCTTCTGGCACTCCATTTGCCCTTAGTTCTTCACTTAAAAACTACTACACATTGCAAATGAAAGAACCATTGGACAGGGAACTTGTTTCTGAGTACAATATCACAATTACTGCTCAGGATGCTGGCTCACCGCCTCTCATGGAGGAAAAACAAATACTTGTTAAAGTGTCTGATATAAATGACAACCCCCCTACATTCCCACAATCTTTCTATGATGTGTATATGGAGGAAAACAACCTTCCAGGGGCCATTATTTTTAATATTAGTGCCTCTGATCCAGATCTGGACCAGAATTCCCGTCTTTCTTACTCTATCTTGGAAAATGAGAAACCTGAAGGAGATCTGATTAGCAGATATTTTTCTATTAACCGGGAGAATGGTACTATTTATGTCCTAGCACTTTTGGATTATGAAAACATCATGGAGTTCAGGCTAGTGGTACAAGTCCGTGATGGAGGGCTTCCACCCCTTGCCACTAACGTCACAATCAATGTTTTTGTCACAGATCAAAATGACAATGTACCCAGAGTCTTATATCCAACTTCGGGTAACAGTTCTTTGTTTTCAGAAGTAATGTCATCCACAGTCAGTCCTGGATATTTGGTCACCAAAATTGTGGCCTGGGATGCAGATGCTGGTTACAATGCCTGGCTTTCCTATGTACTTCATGAAGCCACTGATCCAGGACTCTTTGCTGTGGGCTTGTATTCTGGGGAGATAATAACAGCACGCTCTCTACAGGAAGAAGATTCCCGCAAGCAAACTTTGATAATTTTAATAAAAGATCACGGAGAACCCGCGTTGTCCTCCACTGTGACCCTCATTGTAACAATAGCAGAGGCATCCAGGGAGACACTGACAGACTTTACAGTGGTGTCTACTACACCACAATCAAAGAAACACTTGACTTTCTATTTGATCCTTGCTATCATTCTGATATCGGTGGCCTTCTTTGTCACAGTGATTGGAGTGGGCTCTTTTAAATTTTACAAATGGAGGCAGTCCAAGGATATCTTCAAGGCCTCCAGGAGCAACCTTTACAGAACCCCAGAGCCTTTCAACCACGTGGACACTGTGCGGAGTGGATTTTTTCCTCCAGATTTCTACCAGCAGGTCCTTACCACTGACTCTTGCCAGAGTGATCTTCTATACAAAATGCCTTTTGCTCCCAGTACTATGGGGAGCCGCCAGAGTACTGTCACAAGATGCGATCCTGCAGTGTACAACCAGATAATAAGTACCAGTAACAGGCTGCTAGTGCCCTCTGAGGTAATGTATGCTTGTCCTTTTCCAGCTATGTCTGGAAAACTCAGCTCTGAGCCTAAGTTGGCTTAATAATACTTTTTTTTTCTTCTTGAAATGTGTCAGTGCCTGTGAAGTTTGTTCTTTTTCCTCCATTCTCTATGGTGTATGTTGTAGCAGAATAATGTAGAGCTCTCCTGCTGAATTCCTATTCCTATTTTTTGTTGTTTCTTATATTATATGAAGTTGGGGAGTTCATACAGTTGTCCCTGTGCTAACTCAGATCCATGTTAACTCTTTCAGGTCTCTGCATAAACAAGGCTTGATGAATTAAGCTCATATTTAATTAAAATGTGTAAGCAGATCCAGAAACCATGAAAGAGCAGCACTGGGTAGAGATATTGTGTGTGTACTGTAGAAGCAAATGGACTAAATTCTAATTGGGAGAATCCTGAAGGCTATTTTGCTCGGCCAATTCTCCAAAAGACTTAAAGGAAAACTTCTGCAACATTTTACTTTTGGCTAAGACAGGATTTCAGTGAACGACATACACTTTTTTTTTTTATTTTGGGAGAGTATGGGGAATCACTTAAATAGCATTTGAAGAATATGAGCAATCATAGGGATCTTTTACATTTCTACTTCTAACAGCCACTGATTCTAGTATAATAGAACAAACAGCAGCCACTGCCAGAGAATATGGTGTGAATATATGAAAGAGCTGCACTTCTAGGAAGGGGCTTGAGTTTAAATGTTGCCTTCACTGCAGATATGTTTAAGGTAGCCTGTTGGACAAGTTGGCCCCCTCTAAAGTGTCACCATGGTGCCCACCCTTTGAGTTTAGTAGCAACCAAAACGGGAGCAAGAAACATCAGCTCAGGGAAGGAAGGTAGGCAAGAGTGTTGAATAAAACAATAGCTCCAGGTCCCTCGCTACTTTCACTTCCACAGGATGTTTGTCAGCCCTCATAAGAATCATTAGAGGGATTGGGGCCCAGAATATGTGAAGTCTGAGTAGCAATATAATAACCCTGTATTTAAAGGAGCACTATTCTTCTTTGTTACCCCAGGACTGAAGGGTGTGCAAAAGTTGGTTGTGCTGTAACAGATTAGAGAGGAGAAAGGGCATTTTACAGACGGGGAACTGCCACCAAGAATGCTTCCCTGTGTCGGGTTGATGCAAGGAGGAGGGCCTGGAGGGCCTTTTAGCACAAAGACTGTCTTCTTACTCAGATAGTCAGCCTGTGTCCAGCCCAGGCTGCAGATGAACTTACACAGTGGAATACTAGGCTTATTTTACTCCTAAATGAAGTGCTTGCATGTACAAACATAATACACTCATAGAAAGCTATTTTAGGTACAACTAAGCAAAACCTATGTACTATATTATTAAATCTGTGTTTTTAGTGGAACTTATCTTCTATGCTTTTCCTGAAGCAAAAGAATGGTATTTACTCCGTTGTAAAAAGACAGCTGTGAGTAGAGCTCAGATTCTGGTGACTATCTGAACAGGTGATATAGTTATGCCACTGCTTGCTTCCTGATTCCTTGGCAGCAAACACAAGCTCTCATTTACATCACTTCTTCCTTTATAGCAGCTGGCCTACTGGCATAAGAAATAGTAACATACATAGAATGTCTCTCAGGTAGGTAGGTAAGTAGATAGATATACATAGGCACACACATAATATAGAAAGATCAAGCTGTGGCCTCAAATTTAGTTATCTAATAAGATAGGAGAGAGACATGTACACATGCAGGTAGGGTTGGCTTAAGATTTTGGTGGCCTACAAAGGTTTACCACCAACCCAGGTCCCCAGGCCTCATGGCATGCACTTTGGCTAATCAGTATCCTTCAGTCTCCCAAAGCTGATGTAAAGATAAAAATCCAGAGCCTCATAGGCTAAATATATATGCAGATGTGATAGGAAAACATAATTATCATTATGCTACATCATTAATATTTTTAAAATAGCTTTCCTTGCATATAAGATATAAGATGTATATTGTATGTATTCAGAAATTTATCTTGGAGGCCCTTGGGAATGGATGGAGCTAACTCCTGAAAACTAACACTTCTATAATTCATACTAAAATTTAAAATAGGAGAAAAATATCCATTGCATCTCATTTATCTCATCTATATGCTTCCATTTTCTATATGGTCATCAATGCAAAGATATTGTCCAGTAAATTTATACTTGAATACCTGAGTACAAAGACAGAACATAAATCAAATACAAATACATGCACAGTAGATACTGCTGAGTTCATTGAGGCTTACTTACCAGTATGTTTGAATAGGACTGTAGCAATGTCATCTGCAAATCTGTTTAAAAAGAATCCAACGTGCTTAAATAAGATTTAATCTCAAGCACTTGTGGACACAATTGCAGCAAATCTTTCAACTCATCTTGGTCCCTTTTGGCTTAAAATAGATCATACCCTAACTCCTGTTCCTTATACAGAATAAATAAATGTGTTTATTCCATTATAGTTTTCTGCCCATTTTTCATAATTAAAAACAAACTGAAAGCTAAATAGAAGCCATTTTGCAGACTGACCTCTCAAACATAAAATGAATGAAGTGGAAGACAGGTTTAAAAATAGTTTACAAGCTAAGTGGAAAAATAGGCATGAAATAAAACCTAAGTTAGAAAGGCCATATATTCCTGTTACAGTATTGCACCTGCCTATTAGTTTTGGCTTTATATGTGATTGCCTCTAAAATTTGGTTTTCTACAGCATGCAGTCGTTCCTTAGGAATGTATATCAAGATGAAGCAGGAAGCTTTCCTGAATCATTATGTACAGACCAGGGCATCATCAACCCATAATTAAAACAAACTATGAATTAGTATGATTGTGTATACAGCCATTGTCAAGTCAAGCTGAAACTTCATTGCTTAAACCAACTGAAAAACAGAAGTGGGGGCCTTTCAGAGGCCAAATGTCTGTATGTACTGTTTTTTTTTTCTTCGAAGGCTAGAAACACCTGCACCTTCCAGCAAATGACAATCTGGACTAGTTTAAAAAAGGGGAGGTGCAGCCCCTTTAAACCCATGTTATTGGTCTCATATGAAAACATATTACAGTATACCATGTCTCCCTCCATTAAAAAAAACAAGTTTCCGCAAGTGATGAAAATTGCTTACCCTTTTTAAAAAATGTGGACAGAATTGTTTGTGTTCAGTCATAACCACTGAAACAATAAGAAAAAAGTAAAGTACTTTGCTAACTTGCTCTCCCCTCCTCAACATATGATTCATTTATCATGTGGTTAGCCAAAAAAAATCCTTTCTGACAGGCTGTATTTTGGGAAAGGGAGAGACAGTTGAGTATAAAAAATGAAAATGAATCTTCTTGAACACAGCGGATCCGTCACCATGGTGATACAGTAGGAAACCTACATGGAGGAGCCCTGAGTTCCTACAATAATAAGCATTTTTCTTTTTAGTTGTAACTACAGTGGCATGATTATTATTTTTGCCACTGCAATCAAAAAGATTCTTGTCAGGTTACACAGAAAAGGTACAAGCTAGTTAGTTAAATGTTAGTAAATGGAGAGGGGGGAATCAAGGAACATCAGTTCTTAACTGTGCCTGCACAATTATTAGGAGACTGGAAGCTGATTGCAGCTTCTATATGTGCCCCGATTTCATTAGGAAATGAAACAGTTAAACCAACCGAAGAAAGGGAGGGGGAGGGGCACAGTGCAAATTCCCTTTAATGCTCCACAGATCACCCCTTCCCCCCTTGACTGCAGAAGCATGGCTAAAGGAACAATGCTGGTAAACATGTAGGTTTAAAGATAAAAGAAAAGAAGCAAATATATTACCTAGAGTTTTAAAGCCTCATTTTGTGAAAACTGTCAATAGCTATGACATTCTGCAGGCAAACTAATATAGGTGTCTAGAAGGAGCCGTGTTCAGCATCCACCCGCAGTTTAAAGTGGTATAGTCCTGAAACAGATGTTCCCCAAATTGGGAATTAGGGTACATAATAGATTAGGGTTTCCCAAACCGTGAGGTGTACTTCCCTTGGGGAGGTGCAGACAGAGTTCAAGGGAGGTGTGAAGAACCTTTTAGTGACATTGTTACAATATATCCACCTTTCCCAAAGTTTCATTGTATGTTTTCATTATTCATTTGTGTTCATTTTGGTGATTTTTAGGGGAAGTGTGTACATTAAGATTTAGTATAAATTTAATAAATAAAATAAATTACACTAAAGGAAGGTATGATGGCAAAAAAATTAGGAACCTCTGTAATAGACTAAAGCTTTTTATGGATTTGAAAATTAACACATTTGAAAATTAACATGCATACTAGTGGAGATAATATAGGACTAGGATAATGTGTTCCCATGAAACACTGGAAATAATGCTACCTATCCTTCTTAGCCAGAATCTAGAAATGCTGCCTTGCAGACTTGCAAATATGAAGTGCCACCAAGTATACTCTACACATCTATATTGAAAGGATCTTAAGCATGTTCTAAAATCTCCCCTTAGGTCACAAACGGTCATTGTGATCCAGAATAGTGAGGTCTCCAAAGTTTGATGTGAAGATTCAGAGTTTTCTTATTAGGGAGTTGGATTCCTGAATAGTCTGGACTTTTCTTTATTGGACATAGAATACTGGAATCTTTCTTAGACTTTTGTCAATAATTGCAGAGCACACAGATTCAGGGATAAAACAGAATTATGGATGGTGGAAAGGAACAGCTTCCAGTCAATTTAGCTGCCTCCCTCCCAGCAGCCAACTTGCAGGGCCAGCAAATCACTGGTGAAAAAGAAAAGAAAAAACACTATTTTAGATAGCAGCAACAGCAGCAAGCAGCAATTTTTATTTTAAAAATAAAAGGGTAATTTGAGAGAGGGGAGGTACTAGAAAATAGTGGCTGTGGGGCAAAGTCAGGCAACAAACAGCAGGCAGGTCCCCTTAGATCACTGACTGATGGCTGCTGCTCATTTGTAACTTGTAGGGGCTGCAGGTATCACAAGTGTTTGACCCTTTTTCTTCTTTGT